GCCAAGAGCTCTGCTAGCCGAAGCCAGAGCTCCCTGCTTTGAGTTCTTCGCCCGTCGCATCTGCCCGCAGTAGGCTGCCCTCGCAGGAGACTGGTGACGAGGACGATGACGACAGAGCCTAAGAGATCGAGCTATCTTGAGCTTGTCCGGTCAGTGAACGCATGCAAAGGGATCGAGAAGTGCACGTAGATTGCCTCAAGACATCTAGAAGATTCTGCGCTGCCCACCGGGAGTAGGAAGTGCTCAGTGATAACACAAATACGCTACAGGAACGTGCCTTTTGGAAAGGTGTTTGCACGAAGAACTCCCTTTCAGCGAGTTACAATCACAACACGCGCAGGCTCGTCAGATTTGTTTTCCACTCCGACACAACGGCCGGGTCTGGCTGTCGCTACGAAACAGCATGCAACAGACCACATGCAGGGCGAGTACACACCAGTGAAGGTACAGTATTTCAAGTGATTCGAGCAAAGGCACCGGCGGGCATATGAGGTTCAATCAAGGTGGTCACGGTGTGGTTCGGGTGCTTCAAAGCCAAACGCAGCTGCTTTCTTCAAGCCAGCACTAGCTCTCAACACGAAGCCGCCGACGTCGATTGCGAGGTGTATTCGGGGTGTCGCGCAGAATGGGCTTCGGCTACTGGCTGCGGACGGGCTTCCCAGGGTCCCAGCGTCCAGTCGGCATCTAAAGGCAGAGCGGAAATGCAGTGAGCGGCAAGACCACCGCTTGGACCCTTAAAAAAATGACAGCCTGTCAAGGTCCAGCAGGTCAGTGGGTCATGCACGCGTGCGCAGGGCATGGCAGAAAACTCGCCTGCCCAAGCCAATTCGTCTCGCGAAGGATCCCAATCCCAAGACCTCCCATGCCCAAGTTTCCGGGCATGTGTGTCGACAGTTCAAGATGAAGGGGCCTTGCGGTGCTTTTGTTGCCAACCTTCGTAAAGCAATGCCGCATCTGTGAGGATGGAGACAGAGGGGGAGGCGGAGGTGCTTGGGGTGCTCAATGGACCGCGCGGAAGGTCGGATCGAAATCACAGGAGTCAGGAGCGACAGGGACATTGCCTCTGCAGGCCGCTGCATCATCCTTGGACAACCTGTCCCACATGACTCTCGTCTGCACTGAATGGTGATGGGCTGCATGAATGCTACTAGCTGGGTGCCGACAAATTCAAGCAACAACTCAAGCTGAAGAGCTGCAGGGCAGGAGTCGGAGCAGAAGCGGCAGCAGACAAAGAAAATGATGCTGATGATGATGATGATCATGATGACGACGGACACATGTCGGCACGTCCCGCTTTCGAGGTTCAGGGGCAACATCCTGGAGGCCATTTTACCATTTCACTGAATGCACTGCCGAACCACTTGACCGCCCGGCAGGTGACCTTGCCCCTGATTCAACGAAAGTTGGAGGATCAGAATTGGGAGGCCTGCTGGTCCGCTATCTGCAGTCAACATGTCAGTGGCAGTTTCAACGGAAAGTCTGTGCAAGGTTCAGGAGTCTGGTGTGCTGGCTTTGGGGGCAATTGCGTTTGGCTGCATGGTGCGGCCAATGCATGGAGTCGCAGTACATGTGCCATGTGCGGAGCTTCCATCGCCACTCTGTGGTCGGTGCAACTGGACAGGAAGGACTGATGCAGTTCATGCCGAAAGCCAGAGACCCGGCAATGGTTGCCCTCCCAGCCCTTGCGCTGATCTGCGATTTGCAGGTCATGGATCATTTGCTTAAGCACGGCGCTGAGTCATGCTGAGGCCATCTGATACTTGTGCAGGCAGCACTTATGTCCGGTTGGCGCAGTGTGTCGAAGCTATGTGTGGAGTCATTCGTTCCATGCTTCCGAGGCTTTGCCAAGCTCCGAAGCCTCTCCTGAGAAGCATTTCCTGCTGGACTGACTGCTCTTGGTTCGGGAAAGGGATCAAAAAAAACAAATAATGCTGTGGTGCTCAAAAAATTATGTAAAGATCACAAAGAAATCAATTAGACATGAAAATTCAAGCAGGGATCCAAGAACAAGACCAGCAAATTATGAAAAGTACCGTACTTGCAGCCTGCGAGCACTCACGATCTGGTATTCCGCTCTCAAAGTTTCCATTTCCTCCCAGGCAAGCAGGAGGCAAGGAAGGAAGGAAGCCAAGCAGGAAGGAGGGAAGGAAGGCAGGTAGGAACACGAGAAGCCGGACAGGAAGCAAAACGAAGGACGGAAGCCAAGCCTGCCCCCTCCCATCAAGCCCCCGACCCCGCTGAAGCCGAGCCAAGCCAAGCGCGTTTTAGAAATCGCCTCGCCCCACAGACGTTTTGCCAACGGGCAGTGCGCTTTTGCTGGTTGTCCGGAGCAGACGATGAGACCAGCATTGTGAAGCGAGAAGATAACAACAGAGTTATCGTGGTCTGCTGGTTCTCTGGTCATCTGATGTGTAACTTATGCAAGTGCTTCTTGGGGATGGGGGCAGCCACCCCCTCCCCGAAAAAACCCACCGAGCCACGACTACTACTCCGCCTCCTCTTCTACAGCTGCATACTACTAGTACTATTAGTATTACTACTACTTCTTACCACTCTACCACAGCTGTTGTTTGCAATATACCGCGATTGCCAGTACTACCAGTACAGTACTACCTTATTGCTACTCACCCACTTTCATTTTGATCCGTATGCTTTTTGTTGATCACTGTGTCATTTTGATCGAAAGTTTGTCTTTTGCAATTCAGCCGTTTCAAGATATGATTGTTTGATTCTTGTTCATACCTGCGTTGATTTGCGTTTGATCCCAGATGTTGATTGTATTAATCCCTGGTGTTTCTGTCGATCCGTCAGCCTCTTCGTTCAACGTGGAAGCAGTGGAAGCTCCATTTTGACAGGACAGTGGCCCGATTCTCTCATTGGATATGCAATGAACATCTGAACCCACAGTCGCAGCAGGCACTGCTGTAAATAGCCGGCACAGCGGGGCACTGCCTCAAGTGCACGAGCAGCGCTGCAGGTTCTGAGATCTGTGCTGCAGCAGCTGCTGCAGAGAGTTCTTGACAAGAACAAGCGGGTGCAGGAGGCACACTCCATGCCACTATCTCTCAAAACCGGTCTACCAGCTGGCCCTCGCTGACCCTCAGGCTGCTTGCAGCGCCTTCGCCACCCTCGAAGAGACAGTCGTCTTGGCTTGTTTGATCAACCACATGGGACTTCTCGAGCCCACCCCTCTCCATGGAACTCAGCAGAGCCCGCACACTGCAAAGGCGCGGCTCCTGCTCGTGCCATACCTGGACGACATTGCCCTGGGCTTACAACATGGAGGAGTGCTCCCTAACCGTCTTGAAAGTTGTCGCGTGTATGAAGGTACAGACACTTTCCAGGGCTTTCCAAATGTACCAGGTCCAACGCGATAGCGTGCGTAACGTGAGGAGACCAGACCTGTGTTTACCAGGCCAAGAACCTGTTGATCCTCTACGATGCTGTAGGGACATTGGCAGATGCTGTAGGCCTGGGCCCAAAGCAGACACACCAGAAACAGGAATACCGTGTGATGTGAGCATCGAGTTCTCAAGTGTGCGAAGGTCCGGAGCTGGACACGCAGAAGTCAGAAGCACGATTTTTCTGAATGTAAGCGTGTGAGTGCGTCGGGTTTCCGCTGACCAAGGTACAAGCAGCTAATACTTGAGCCTATGTTCCAGAAGTTCCTTCACACCCCAGACCACGACAGATCTTTAGTGGCCCTGTTCGAGCGCCTGGGATGCATGCATCTGCCGGCATCCAGCTGTGTCCGTCCAAGGGTAGGCCGTTAGGCCCACAGGAGCTTTCTTTCGACAATGCTGAGGTGCTTCTCGTCTTTGGCGCAAAACTTGGGGCCATCCTTCATGCCATTGTGCAAACCGCCCGATGCGCAGCTGGGAAGCGAAGCCACAAAATAACCCCGCCTGCGAGTGCTAAGGCTTATAGAAAGGTGTACCCGTCTCATTCGCACTGGTGCACAAGCGGCTCAAATGCTGCACACTGAGTCTGCGAGTGGGCATCGGGCGTGGTTCCTGGAAAGCGTTCGAGCCCATGGTTTCGAGGTGGATGCAGAATCCCAACGAATTTGAAAAGCCTGACCGCGAGGCAAGTGGACCTGCTCAAGCCGAAACTAAAAGCATGTCAGCTACGCAGGTCATGGCTGCAAGCATCGACTTACTCTCCGGCATTGTAGGCGGACTCCAAAGAAGAGTGTCCGAGGCGCTCAATCTCTGAAGTGCATCTGTCTTCCAGCATCCAGCATTGAGCGCTTCAGGTCCTTGCACAGGATAACTTCCTCGCTGTGGTGCCGGAAGTGCTTAAGGACAGCGCATTACAGGTGGACCGGAGCGTCGCCTTTTCCAAGCAGCTTTGATCTTCCGCTCTGAGCAGGTAAAGCAAAGTGCGTTCGCACTCGTGGGTGACTCTGCAAGACATTGCATCGAGCACGAGTCTCAAGACCGCCGATCGGCACGCGTTTGACCTGTCAAGGGGCTCCTTGCCCAGGCACCTTTCACCGTTCTTGCCGCAGCTACTGCCCCAATGTGCTCAGCCCAGCCTTTGCTGCCTCGAGCGTGACGAGTCTTGCAGCTTATGCTTTAAGATGCAGGTGCAAAAGCTCTTCGGGAGAATAACTCCGCGACGGAACTGCCCCTGAAACCTGCAATGTGGGGGACTTGAGCGCTTTAGCCATGTGAGGTCAGCAACAATGCATCCTGGGCCGTTGGAGAGATTTGCATCAAGGCGGAAAGATGCCACTTAGCGATAGGGCACAAGAGAACCTCCTAGCCAGCAGGTCGGGCCTGACTACATGGCGAATTACCTGGAAGATATCGTCGATGCGCTTGTGACTACGCTGAACAGGCAGGAAGTTCTTGTTGACGCCCGATCAAATTCACTTGGAGTGGAACGAAGATGCAACCAGGTGTACACAGCAAAGCAACAGGATGCTGACGTGGAGCTGGCGGTTTGGAGTTCAGCGCAATGTGCCGCTGCACACATACGCAGACTAGTGCCAGGCAAAATGTTTGCATCACTTTGGGCCGCCTGGGTGTCGTAAAGTCCTCAGAGTCGGAAGTGGATCTTTCGGATTTGGCTTCTGGAGATTCTCCCTTCCCACTCGCTTCAGCTTAGCATCTTCAGGTCTGTGGACCTCAGATGGGCAAGAGCTTCTCCCAGTTTGCGCGGATCTGGTGCCTGGTGATGAAGGACTGGAGCATTCTTCCAACTAGGCTTTAATCACTTCAATTCGCTGGCTGCCTCAACTAAAGCCTGCTCGCGCCCGTGTCAGCTTTGAACGCTTTGGTCACGCAGCCGCTGCTGCGGAAGATGGTAGTCGTTCCTTGTTCTCCTTTATGTAACTCGACACGGCGTCAACGTGGGTTAGAGTTGTACACCCTGTTGCCGGATGCTGGTGTGTTTGTGCTTCTGTGCCGGCAACACTGCGAACCGTGAGGCAACTTCCTGTCAAAGTCAACACATCTGCCCGAAACTGTGTCAGGGTGACGGGGGTGCAGCTTCCCATTTTGAGCGCATCGGTGTAGGCTTCATTCACACTAGGCGACTCAGTGGTTTACTTCAGCTCTGTCACGGAAATGACGGCACTGTCCTGCAGGATGCTAGACACGACGCTGAGAAAGTCAATGCATTTCAGGCGCTGCCACAAGTTTGCACTTGACGGGTGCGCGAGTGTACTGCACCGCTGCCCAGGGTTTCTGCAACATGGTGCAGGCCAATCCACAGGCCACTTGAGATGAACATGCAAGGGTATGGTTCATCAGCCTGAGCTCCCCTCTTGTCCGGACAGGTTGCCCTCCAACACCCTGTAGAGTTTGCAGGCCTGGTGGGCAATTCTGCTGGCACGAGGGTGCTTACACTGTGGAATGCTGCAGAAGCGACGTCCTTGTCGAATGCTAGGTGCCATTGCATCGCTTGCCCCTGCTCCACAAAACCTTCAGCCAAACTTCCAGAACATCCTCTCAAGAGCCCCAGCAGCAAATGCGTTCCCTTTCACGATAAAAATGCGACAAACGTGTGGCTCGCTTGCGCCGGCAAAATGCGGAACTGAGGTTACAAGCAGGCCTGTGTTTCACCCGAGTGTTCCGCAAGATTCAGTCCATCATGCGATTCCGCTTGTCTTGCAGACATTGGGAGCCAACTGGGCAAATGCCTGGAAGCAGGCTCTGCAGTGATGGTGCGAAGGATCGTGAGAGACCTGAACATGAGAAACAAACCCGAGCCATTGCAGATGCCACAAGATGTGCAGCACAAGCTTTCGCATATGAACCTTGGTCGCAAATCACAGCTGGATCGCTTGAGACTGAGAAGTTTTCGTCTTCGTAGCTGAGCCCTGCCGGGAGGTACGCTGGGATAGAGCCTGCGTCTTCAGCTCAGCAAAAGATGGTAGACCATTTCCGTGTTGTGAGTTGTTTGTCTCTCTTTGCTGCTGTCTGGGGCTTGTTGCAAGGTCCTAGACCTGCGGAAGAGAGCCTCACTTGAAAGCTGACGGATAGTCCGCGGGACAGAACTCCGTGTCTTGCGGCTACTCGTCATGCCTGCCAGCCATTGTCAATGGTTCTTTCGGTTGGGAGTGGTGGGCAAAGTCGTGTGGACAGACGATGCTGGCAGGACCATGATAATGCTTTTCTTGCCCAGGGATGCCCAAATGTTTAAGGCTAAAGGTGTCCCGCTTAGTTGCACTTTCCTGGACGCTTTTGAGGAAGAGACGGATGGATGCTTTAGCCATCGGACTAACCAGCTACAAAAAGAAATCGGAGACCCGTGTCTTCTTCAGGAAGCTCGTGCAGGCAATATGCAAACCAAAAGTGTTTGGCGCAGCATGTCCCTTCGCCGGTCCATCCACTACCCAGACCAGAGAACCCACACATTAGAGGACAAGCCGCTACAGAGTAAGGATTGCATGCACACCTAGCAGATCTTGGAGTACACCCGTCGGAATCGGATGCCTGCAGCTAGGGCACCGGTGGAATCGCAGCATTGGTCCTCAGTGCGGGTCAGACTCGCACCTCGGACGCAGGGCAAGATGCCGATATCTGTTCAGTCGTGTCCCTTTTTGCTTTTGTTTTCTATCTCGTCATGGTATGGTCGCGCCTTATTTCGTCCTTGTTAGCCGAGGCAGCCGTGATGTCCACATCACTCTGTGGCAGCATTGACCGGCCCACAGCAGTACATTAGTTAGCGGGCACCGCATCTGCTCGAGCCGGGTTCTGTCAGACAAAATCTGACTGCATGATTCTTTATTCTTTTCGCTGCCAATCAACGGCATTCACAAAGAGAGCCAGCTACCCATCTGTGCCGCGCCGAGCACATCTTTCTTGGCACAAGCTGGCCACCATAGATGGAAATCAGTCCACAGCACCTGCGAAACAATCTGCAGAAATGCAGAAATATGCAGCTGCTCCAAACTGGTACATCACCAATACTGCAGCCGCAAAGTGCGGACAAGCTTGCCCGCAGTAAGAGATGTCCCCAACCCCATCTGATCACTGACACGAGCTCCGAGGAGACATGACATAATTGACATGACATTACAGTGACAGTCACCATGCAGACACCCTGAGGAGTTTTGTCAGCTCCACATGTGCTGCACTCAGAATCGAGCATGCGCTTTGCAGTCTGAGACTCTGATTCTTCGAGGCAGAGCCGAGATGATGGCAAAGAGGTCGGCTGACACTTCCGCTTCGGCTGAAGGGTTTAAAGTAGCAAAAAGCCTCAAGTGGCCCTTGCTTTTACTTGCTTGGGCTTCTGAGGACGGCAGAGAAGTGGTGTTTTGCCCGCGATCCATGCGAGAAAGCACCGAGGCGTCATGACGGCGGTACACGGGTGCTTTTAGCAGGCGACTGTAAAGGAGACCCCGTCGTGGATGAGGTACAAGAGGAGCCCTTCGCGGAGGACGCCGTCGCAACGCAGCGGCGCTGCTGGGTGCGAAACCCAATCGACAGAACGGCAGCTGCTTGACTAGGGTGGAAGCGCCAATTGCAAACAATAAACATGCAAAAGCTGTGTGTAAGAAGGTTGCACCAGATGTTGAGAAGATTCTACAGTGTCGCTGGCCGTGCAGGTGCTGCCTCCATCGGAGTGCGGTCCTCGGCCATTCTACAGGGGCTCCGGATGTGACAGGAGCACACGGGCTTGCTATTCTGATGGCCGTCGCTGTTCGTCAAGTTGTAACTTCATACCCACATGAGCTCAGTGAATCCAGGATTTCTAGACTTTGCTTCACGAGATCCGCCGACAACAGCATCAGCAGGCATCAGCTATCGCGTGCATAGAGAAGTACCCGGCTTGTACAAATCTCGACGAAGCCCGCACACCAGCTGCGAAGATGTTTGCGACGGTGCAGTCGCCAGGCATCACTCCTGCACACGCAGTTGGCCAGAATGCAGCTGGAATGTCCTGGAGCAAAGCTTACAACAATGCCCTTTGCATGAGATTTGGGTTGCGGCCGAGCAGCCCACTTTATCTTGACCTCGGAACAAGATGGCCTGCACTGGATGTATATAGCCGGCAGCTGCGCACTTTTCGCCCGTCTTCGCAGCCCAGTCTGAGACCGACCCTAAGTGCAACAGCCGCTTGCAGATCTCAGGTGCTGCAAAGCACCAGGCGTATTCGCCTGCAGTCGGACGCGAGCAGCGAGCATTCGTCTAGCAAGCCAACGCTGCGGCGGTTGTTGGCACTGCTCTGGCCGGACCGAGTTCTTCTTGGAGTTGCTTTATGTTTTCTGATTGGTGCGGCTGTCTCACAGGCGCGGTACTAAAATTGTTTGAAATAGATGTCAATGGCAAGTCCGATCGCCTTCTTGTCAGGCCATGCTCCCTCACTGCTTATCTGACACTTTGAGAGTGATCATTGCCGGTCAAGCATCTGGCGCGCTCGGAGTGAGCACGTTCACCGGGCCTTTGTCAAACTTGTTGCTTGCGGCTTTAGCTGGTGCCTTGCTTGTAAACCGGGCAGAGCCTTCATTGTTGTTTCGGCAAATGAACCAAACTTGCATCCGATACTCAGTTTGGACTCAGATGATGCAAGAGAGACCATCTACGCCCTAGGCAGCAAACCGCTTTAGATTCCCAGCTCGTGACATGACCGCAACCGAACCTTGCCAACTCGAGCTCTAAAGAATCAGCAGCCCCAGTCTAGCTGTCAGCCCCTGTTTGAGCCTTACAAGACGGGTCTTTGGTCGAGCACCGCTGCAGCTTCTGCGGCCAGAACATGCTAGAGCGTGTCTTCTCAACCGAGGAGCCTTCTTCTCTTCCCTCCGGGGTGCCTGCTTCATCGTTATTGGGGCCAGGGCTTCTGTGCGCCTCCGGAAGCAGCTATTCAAGTCATTACTCAAGCAAGACCTTGGCTTCTATGACACCACGAAAACTGGAGAGATCACTTCGCGCCTTACACAGGACTGCCAGCGAGTCGCCGACCAGGTCTCGTTTAACGTAAATTTCTTTTCGCGGACTGTGGTGGAGCTGGTCGCCACGCTGTGCTTCATGCTTTCGTATTCTGCTGAGCTGACCATGATTTCTTTTGCCACCGTGCCTGTAGTGGCATTTCTGTCCAAGAAGGTCGGGCATTACATGCAGAGGTTGTCCGAGGCAACTCAGCAAAGGCTTGCTGATGCTAATGCTGTTGCGGAGGAAGCCTTATCCTCCATCGCCACTGTGCGAACTTTTGGAGGTGAAGCCTGGGAGGAACAGCGATTTCGTTCTAATTTGTTGAAATTCTATGAACTGGAGAGTCGCAGGGCGAAAGTATATGTGGGATATCTCTTCGTCATTATGATATTGCCGCATTTAGGAAACTGTCTCGTGTTGTTTCAAATCGGACGCCTTTGTGTGCATGGTCTTTCGGCCCCCACATTGTTGGCTTTCGTCTTCTATTTGCAGACGCTGAACGGCTGTTTCAATTCGTTAGCAGACATCTACACGAACATTATGCAAGCACTGGGATCTGCTACACGCGTGTTTGCGCTCGTGCATCGCAAACCGAACATCACGCAAGCGGCTGCCGGTCCTGGCTCCAGCGCCGTAAAGGTGAAAGGTCACTTGGAACTCCGGAACGTGTACTTCAGCTACCCAGCACATCCCGAAAAGCAGGTGTTGAAAGGTCTCTCGCTGCAATGTGAGCCGGGAAGTGCAGTGGCACTGGTCGGAGCCAGTGGTGGTGGAAAGTCTACCTGCATATCCTTGTTTCAACGACTCTACGAGCCTCAGAGGGGATCTGTTTTCTTGGACCAGCGAGACATCATGGAATATGACAGCAGCTCGTTCACCGAAGTTGTTTCTGCAGTTAATCAGGAACCCGTCCTATTCGGCTGCAGCATTCGGGAAAATATTTTATACGGTCTTCCAGAAGACCACCCGGCACGCAGCAATGACCTATCACCCGATGTGGTGCAAGCGGCGTGCCTGGCTAATGCTCACAGTTTTATTCAACGAATGGCAGATGGTTACGACACAGAGGTGGGGGAACGAGGGGTGCAACTATCTGGAGGACAGAAGCAGCGCATCGCAATCGCTCGGGCTCTTGTGCGTAAGCCGCAGGTTCTACTGCTTGATGAGGCTACGAGCGCACTTGACGCGGAAAGCGAACTTCAGGTTCAGATGCTCGCCAGAGCAATTAGAAAGATCGGCGTCAAAATCATTGATTGCTTCGGCCATTCGAGCAACGCTCGTTCTAGCCACGTAGCAGCTCACGCAGAACATCGCATACGCATTCATGTGAGTGCAGGCTGCACTGCGGAACCGCGTAGAGCCTCGTAGGGCAACATGGGATAATGGCAGCCCAAACAACCAAGCTAAAAAAGGTACGATAAACTGTTTCCGTTTGCGACCTAATGAAACTTGTCGATTCGGTTTGTACTGGCACATATCCGAAGGCGATCCAGGGCTGGGTTCCGCTGTCTGAGGATTGCCATCAACAACTTGGTGGCACAGGAGGACATGACGGTCGTGATTGTCGCGCACAGGCTATCAACAGTGCAGAGGGCAGACAAGATTTGTGTAGTGGAGGGAGGTGTGATTGTGGAACAAGGCCGACACGCCGATTTGCTTCAGAAGGCAGATGGACACTACAAGCGATCAGTGGACCAGCAGCTCAAACACTGACCAAAGTGCACCACTCACAAGCACAGACAGCCAACGCGCTGTCCGATGTCTTCGTTTCAAGATCGTCATAGCTGCAAAACTTTTTAAAACTGGCCATCTGGCTCATAGTGATGCCACAAGTCGTGGTCAGATCACCAAATTGTTTGAAACCAAAACAGATGTCCCGAAGGCTTTCATCTGAAGCGCTTGAGTGCCACTGATGGGCACACCAATTGATCTCATCTTCTATATGCTAGTACCATCAATCTCACATGTACAGAAATGTGTAAGAAGTTGTTGCCCTTTGGGCGTTTTCAGTGCTGACAGCACAAACCCACAAAAAAGTCTCGTCTATTGCAGTGTGCGAGTGCGAGGTTCTTGCGAAGACAGCCTACAAGCATTCGAGTCACTGCCGAGGCCACATCCTCCAGAACGCGAACCTGAGGATTGTTGGGAGTGTCTCAGCACCTTTTGCTTTTGACCATGAGCTCCGGGTCACAGGCCGACGAAAGCCAGGAGCTTACAGAGAGGAGACGAGGAGGAGACTGCTTTGCGAGTTGAAACCAAGGCCGGGCCTTTGCGTTGGGGCCCAGCAAGGGGAGCATCTGCCAAAGAGCATGCCGAGCATTGAATCCTCTCGAGGCCAGCGGGGCGGCGCCCGGCAGGGCGGCGCCAGCCCGAGCGGCCCGGGCCGGCGGCGAGAGAGGAGGCGAGCAACCAAAGGCCCAAGAGAGCGCAGCGCTGACCCCTCACAGGCACCGAAGCGCCAGTCCTCTGTGGCCAGCGACCGATCTCGGAGATCAGGCACCGGAGCTCTGCCGTCGAAGTTCCCTCAGCACTGCGGTACCGCCATGGCTTTGGCCTTCCTTGTGTTGCGGTCGCGAGTCGGTTCGCAGGTGTTGGTGGGAGAAGCCAAAACGACGGTCGAGGAGACTCCCGGCAAGCGGTTGAGTTGGTGGCCAACCAACCACGCCAGGATTCTCAGCAACCATCAGTTTGGGGAGCTCCAGGCCATCAAAGAACACAAGCAGGCAGTTCTGCCTTGATACAGTCATGCCAGGCAATCGCAGACAGACGCCGGAGCTGGCGGCGGTCCCCTTTCAGCGCCAGTCTGAGCGTACCACCTCCATGTTCGCGGAACGAAACAAGAATCCTCAGGCGAGACGCCGCAATGGCACAGCAACCATGTCTGCCACAACCATCGCTTCTTGGCTTAGCATGAGTTGGCTTAGCATGAGCTGAAGCTGAATTGCACCTGGCTTTCCGTGGTGCAGCACAGTCGTGCAGCGTAGTGCAGCTGAGGCCAGCAAGAATAGCTCAAGCGCCAACGGCCGAGCAGCAAGTTCAGGTTCCATCAATATTTGTGCGTGTCCACCCTCTTGCAAGTTGCTTCAAAGCGGCACACCTAGCCACAGTCGAATCTCGCGGTGATATCCTCTTCAACATCATGAAAAGTGGAAGCGAGACGGTCTTAGTGGGCTTTGGGCGAAGTAGTTCCAAACGATTTTTGGTTGTGGTGATCTGTTAAATACGATTTCGAAATTGATGGCAGACAGGCACGGCGACTGCGACGAGGCAAACGCGGGCTCGCTCGCAAGAGGCTTGGCGCATGCCGAGGCTGTTGGGGCAATGCACCGGCATGTCGTCTTGTGACAGGTGACTTCTCGCCGCGGCTCGACGGGGGCAGAGCCGATGGTGTCGATTAGCCAACTCAGGCGCACTGAGACCTCGAGCTTGTAGATCGCCCCCGCGAATGCAGACGAGAGACACTCGCATGGCACGCTTGCAGCAGCTATCAGCAGCTCAGGCATCGTGAGTTCGATCCTGACAAGAATTAATTTGATCCGTTGCATGATCACATGTGCTGTAATAATTACTTAGGTTTGAAAGGCGGCGTAAGATCATAGTATTGATCTCAACTCACTTAGTCGAGCGAATAGTCGCAGCGGAGTGCATCAATTAGTGAAGCATGAGACGCAGACGGCGTCAGACGGAGTCACGCTCAAGATCGCGCGAAGGTGCGACGTTCCGATTGCAGTCTCACATGGCAAGCTTCATGTCGGCTGGTATCAAGCTGTTTTTCCTGCATGCCGAGGTGACACTTCCGCTCGTGGGCTTTTTCAAGAGCCTTACATGAGGCAACTGAGGATAGAGGATTGCCGAGCCGTCTTCCGATCCAACAAGGCAGCCATTCATGCGTCAAAGCCGGAGATAAAGATAGTTTGCGCCCAACTGTCGCAAGCTCTGAAAGCGGAAGCCCTGGACAGCGTTGTCCTGGACTTGCTGAGACGGCTCTCGGTCTACATGCATCCACTTCGAGGGAACAGAATGCTGGAATATTTGCGCTTTACGGGAGCCGTACCACTTGTTAAAGCGGTGAGACGGGACTGTGGAAAGGAAGTTTCAGGCTTCGCTTCGCGTCTGTTAGACTCGTGGAGGGCAGTCCTGGTCGATCTGCAGAAGCAACAAGCAACAGATACAGCGAGTGCTTCAAAGCCCAATGCCGAATTGTCTGCTGCCTCCAGCACCTCGCGCGCAGCACGGCAGCCGCAGAGTGATGGAAAGGCCCTTCTGGTCTCGTCTTCTTCCTCCTCCAGTGTGTCCACTAGCTCCGACTCGGAAGTACCGAGCAGACGACGAACGGCTCAAACCGGAGGAAGAGGGCCGAGCTGTGCACAGCTTGCATGAACCTGTAGATGAGCTGCTTTCTGCATCTGTCGCTTGCTGATCTTGTTGGCGAGTGTCACCACCAAGTCACAGCATGGCGTACTTCTACTGGACAGGCGCGTCGAGGCACAGCTGGAGAGCTACCGCACTCGGAATGCAGCTCTCGAGGCGCGTTCGCTTGTACGTAGCTTCTTGTAGCAGTCATTGCATTGCATGTCACCACTGTACATTCAATAGCGACTTCTTTGCCTGTATTGCCATGCATTTGGTCAGGGTGAGGTTGCAGGGCTCCGAGCTGAGGCGCAGGTACTCGGCCATTTCCTTCATTTGAGATCGTGCCAGCCGAGCTGTGCCTTCAGGCGGTGAAGCAAGGGCTCGATGCGGAGATTGAGAGGCGGTGGTGCATGCGAGTCCATGTGACGCCGGCGTTGGGCGCACCTGTGCTTGCTAATGTGAGGCTTCGGCGGGAGCTTCAAAGCAAGGAGCTGTAGAATATGCCGGGTCCCTGCTCACATGCATCGGCTGTACAGCAGGACGCACAACTTCACAAAGAGTTGGAGGTCAAGAAGCGTCAACTCACCTCGCTGGTGCTGCCGTGCGTATTGCAAGCACGCTTGTGACCCTTGAGTTTTCGAGATGCTGTGCAACGATTCCAAGACGCACATTGACGTAGACCGCCAGTGCGAGAGAAAGATGGAGGGAAGTCTACAATTTCAGGTGCCACATGTGAATGGCAGGAGCAGAACAAAGCTCTCCAGACAATATTGAGTTCATGCCGAGTATACCACCCAGCCAATCAAGATCGAACATTTGCGTGTGTTTGTGCGAGTATCAACTCGCGGCAAGGCCATTCCTCGGGAGAGTGGCAGTGTGCAGCTGCCCACCGCAGTGGCCGGGACCTGGGTTCATGACTGCCTGCACAGTGCGCTAAGAAATGACACGGTGCATCGATCACTTGCTGACGCGCGGCACGTTTTCGCGAGCGCCCATGGTATCCCGACCTAGGTTGCGTTTTCGCACGCTGCTCCGGCAGCCTTCTGAGCCTGTGAGGGATGGTACTGCGACCGTGACACAGAAGAATGTGCTTAGGCTCCACTTTCGACCAACAGCCCTGCCAATATGGCAACCCCGCGGACTACGCCGCCGCAGGCGGACCCGGACCTTTCAGCCTCTGTTACACAGACTCTAACAGCCGCACAGGTCGCCGCACCCCAAATTTACACCGCATCGCCCGGCTTGCAGCTCAGGCAGCTCAGAGGACTGACTACGTGGCACATTGTGTCTCGCTTCGCCGGGCATGTATGCTGCAGGTCTATGGTGGGTCGATGTACATACGGCATGTTCAAGCTAAGTTATGGCCGCACACCCTTGCTTCAGAACCCTGCCTTTGCACGTTACTTCTGTCTGTTCCTCATTTACCAGATGTGCAACTCGCTGCTCAGTGCGTACTGAGGTACAAATGGTACAACAGTTCAAAACATGTAGATGCATTCAATTCTTGAGTGTGTGCGCGCCCGCCAGCTGTTTATGGCTTGCGCTGCCTTGTCATGCGACAGGAGAGCCAACGGCAGTGAGGTGCACCCTTTGCAAGTCCGTACCAGTACAAATGAGCTTCAATGCCACATGCCTGAGTTTCGCGTCCAGCGCCAACACGGTCCAGCCTTTCGCAAGCCTGGCCTTTCAAAGGGTAACGCACCTCGGCTCAGTCTCTCGGTCTCTCGCTGCCTGAGCTGTTACACCAGTGATGTCCCACGAGGCCTCGCCAGGACCGGGCCTCAGAAGAAGAGAGAAGTGCAGTCTACATTTACACAGCTTGGTTTCACCCCGGTCGCACAGCTTGTTGGGCTTGCACTGGTAAGTATGCCGACTCTTGCAGGTTTGGACCCACACTCACACGCCGAATCACCCTGCACACCCTTGAGCCTACAAGGCGCTATAATGCCTTCGAGACTTGACTAGTGCTGAGTGCTGCCTGACATGATCAGCGATGTGCGAGCAACGCATGGGGGATCTAGAATAACTGCTGTCAGAATGTGGTCACCGCATCTGCAGGAAATGCTGCCGATGTCAAATACGGATGCATGACTTAGAGGAGTACGCCTGTAGGCATTTTCCAGTGAAGCTCAAAGCAAATGCTTCACGAGGACAGAGTTCGGGTAGATAGACTGCAGCTGTTTCCATGACGTTCCATCTTTGCAAAACAGGCGTGCTGAGAGAGTCCTTCAGCTACTTGTTGCAGCCCGCATTTGAAAGACTGGTCTGCGTGCTTGTCTTCGGCTGTCAACGACAAACAAACCGTGAAGATGGATGGTGTCATGTCGGGAGGATGTGCTCGGATAGGGTAAGGTTTGAGTTTCCAGGTATGCCAGACGGGGTGAGATTGTGTCTAGGTGCATGTTGGTTTATGAACTAGAACCCGGCGCCTTCCACTGCGCCATGGCCCCTCAAAGACATCCCGGTGAGGAGCCTTTGCTCCTTCTGCGTGAGTCGCTGGTCGCTTTTCGAAGCGACTTAGAGGTTCTGTTCCAAGCCCAGCAGAGGCACAACAACACTCGCAGGCAACTGCAGGACCTTTACGTTCGACTTCTCTGGACTCGTCAGAACGCAGACCCCGAACCCACGAGCGCATCCACGCAAGTCGGAATAGCTGGTGTCGGTAAGCTGTCCGATTCACCCAACTCTAAGGGTGCCCGTGCCAAGAAGCATTCGATCAATCTCGAGAGTTTCGGTGGTGAGGATGAGCTTCGAAGTCTGGTCTTGCGGTTCCTGGCAAACGAGAAAACAGCCACACATCTCCCCCACGACAGCATCCAAGACATCTGGGCCGATGAGCTCTCCGCTTCATCAGCACGGGTCTCCGCTCTCATCAGAGATGGCATGCGCTCCGACTGCTGGCAATTCGTGCTGGCAAAGGAAGGCTCCAGGTGGGAGTATCGGAACTTCGATTCTGTTGCGTTGCTCTTGGCGCTCTTGGGTCCACTAGTATGTCTAGTCCTTGAAGGTGGCACGTTCTCCAGCAGAACGACCTGTCCATCGTTCAGGCCAGACAGAATTAGAGTTGTCATGGCTGATGTAATTGTTGCCTGCATCGAATGACAAGGAGCCGCTGGATCAACAAGTCCGCAGCTCGCTTTGCGGAGAGAGCTATGTCTCTGTGCACGCTTGAGATCACTCCCCTGTCTCGTGGCATGTCCTCTCAATGGTTCAAGGAAGTGCAGCCAATCAAAGGTTCTGGCAATTTAGCAGCGCCCGCGCCATGTCAGTTGGATTGCTGCTCACGGCAAACGCCGTGCCCTGCGGGTCGCGGCTTAGTTTAAACGGGAGCGAAAGACTAAGAAGTCACGGCCAGGGTGTCTTTCCCTGCTGTCCGACAAAGGCATGCCAAGCGCCAGCATATTGGCTGGGACGTCCGAGCAAAAAGGATGCTGAGCGAAGCACATCATGAGCCTTGGTTATTGGTGCAGCTGGTTGTGCCTGCGAAAATGTGCGGGGAAATGATTGCTGTGCTCAGCGAGACCCCTGCACCGGTGCGCTAAGGATCACAGCGTGCAAGACATGCACTTATCTTCGACATTCAAGAAGAACCGCAGGCATTTAAACGTCCTGCACGGCAAGCCTGCGCCGCTGGAGAGAATCTCAGCAGCATGAGACTTATCCGCTGCTAGGCATTACCCGCAGCTAGTGCACTGCAAGGCTGCGAAATTCGCATGTTGTGAGGTTGTGTTCAGAGACTCCAGGAACCAGAGTGCAGCCGCGCAACGGACAGATAACTGCAACGGGGCTTGTCGCCCCAATAGCGCTGCATGGAGGGCCACAGCACAGTTGAACTATCAGGCAATCCACGCATCGCAAGTGGGAAGAGCAGCTAGCCCGAGCCGGCTAGGACAGTGAGCAGTGGATTGCACGGAAAAGCCTCGATGCATTGAACTGCGAATCCCACACACAGGAATGGCAACACATTCTGACAAGGGCTCAGTGGCTGAGTCTCAGCTATTGAGGGCGTTTCCAGCCGAAGTGGAATTTTGTAAAGTGCAGGCAATATCATTATGGCTGGAATTCGATTCTAACCCCGGATTTAAATCAATTGTACTCCGAAGGTTTTGCTTGTCGAAGACGACCAAGACAACCGATTTAAATCGATTCTACTCCATTGTGGTCGTGTGCAATGTGGGGAGGCTTAAAATCGATGTTAAGCCGACCCAAACTACTCAACTGCATGGGCTGGATTCAAATCGATTTTAAGTCTCCAGGCACTGCACCCGGATTGAAATCGATTTTAATCCGGTCTTTCGTCCGTCACTCAAAATCGATTTAAATCCAGCTTTAGTGCCTGGAGGCTTAAAATCGATTCTAATCCGCCGCCATGCTCCAGGGGGTTAAGATCAATTTTAATCCGTTTGCCGATCCTTTCCTGAAAGGATTGGAATTGATTTTAATCCGTCTCATCCTCAGCCCGAAAATCGGACCGAAAATCGGATTAAAATCAATGTTAATCCAAGGCTCGCTTATTCGAGGGTGCAGGGTTGGTTGCAGGGTTGTCAGAGGAGGGGGGTGCAGAGGGTGGGGGGGGTTGGTTCAGAGGAGGGTGGTTCACAGGGAGGGAGTGGCGGCGCAGCGTGGTTCACGGGTGGTGCAGGTAGGGTGCAGGGGTGGTCCAGGGGTGTGCAGGTAGGTGGAGCAAGGGTGCAGGGGTGGTCCAGGGGTTCAGGCCCAGGTGGGGCCGGAGGTCCCTGAGCACCCCTAAAGCTTAAAGCCTAAACCTGAATCTTTGCCTAAGAACCGGTGACTCCCGAAGGGTTTCGGGTTCAGGGTCAAACCCTAAACCCTTAACCCCTAAACCCTAGAGCCTAAACCCTAATCTTTGCCTAAGAACCGGCGACTGCCGAAGGGTTTCGCTAAACCCTTAACCCCTAAACCCTAAAGCCTAAACCCTGATCTCTGAGGGTGTGGATGTGTGGAGGTATGTCCTGGGGATCAACACTGAGGACTTGCCCAAAGGCCGAGCCACAGTTCCGAATGGAGGCCCCCTGATCAGCGACAACCGGGCAGAGTACATCGCAGAGGTGCTGCGGGGTTTTACCACGCACCAACAGTTGCTCATGACAATCAGCCTTGTGACGGTGGTTCGGGCCCTGATGGTTGAACTAGGCATGGTGATGCACACGGCGAGCCTGGTCGAGGTACACCTGGACGAGAGCGACGAGGATGACGAGGCGAACACCGGGGGCCGAGACCACACTTCGCTGGTGCAGCTGGGATACACCAAGGTACACGGGCTCATCCAAAGTCTCCAACCGGAGCTAGAGGGTCGTTCACCGGGGCTTGCCCGGCTGCGAGCTGAGGACCTGCATGCGAGACTCCAGAGGGTGAGGCGAGTCTCTGGTCGTTTGGACATCGAGCTCATTGACCAAGCCGAGGCTTTGTGTGTGGCCGTGGAAGAAAGTGGACGCAACCATGTGCCGGATGGCTTTCTGGCAGAGCGGCTGCAGGTGGAGGAATGGGCTTCGCAGTGGTGGGGCAGACTTCAGCCGATGATCTGTGGTGCGACGGGGGCAATGTCGGTTGGAAGCTCTTTGCCATCGAGCAGCCTTGAGTTGGTGAACGAGGGATTGTGTTGTGCCCGAGTGAACGAGCTGGCTGAGGATGCCCGTGAAGCTGCTGCTGATGCCCATGCACAGGCTGAAATGCAAGCTCGGTTCGAGGCGGACGAGGCTGAATACTTGCAGGGAGCCCAGGCCGCTGTTGAGCAACACATGGTTGAGGAAGAGGCTAAGCGGTGCCGAGCTTGGGATGATTGGGCGCTCCACGACGAGATGTACCGAGACGGCAGCCACCGTGGACGGAAGCGAACCCTACTCGAGGTCCAGGTGGGCGTGATGGAGGGCGAGCCGGGGGTGGTGAAAACGTGGCGACTGCCGGTCGTTCCAGGACAAGAAGTTCGAGTCCGCGTGGTGCAGGAGGGCGAGTCGGATGCCGAGACGGTTCGAGCGCCAAGTCCAGCCAGGCCTGACCTTGATGTCACCGTACCTTTGGACTTCGGTGAGTTCCAGCACTTTATCAGGCATGGAAGAGGGGAGACACGGCAGATCACGAAGTTCGGCAGAAGTATGGTGCAGCTACGCTGGACATGATGCAATCGCAGCGGGTTGTCTCTGACTACGAAGACGAGCAGCTTCATGAGGGCGAGGCTGTGCAGCAGAATTTCCCGGAGGTCTCTGAGGTCCTGGCCAATACACTGCTCGATGCGGTCCTGGATGAGAGCAGCGGGGCATTGGTTGGCGACGCCTGTGCTGGAGATCATGCTGGAGTCCATGAAGGGTGGCTGTATGAGGGAGGGCTGTGTACGAATGGTGCTCAAGCTCCAGGGGTCCCCGAGGGCATGGCTGATGAGGGTGTGGTATCTCGCCACGATGCAGGGGAGGACTCTGGGTCAGAAGATGGTGATCGCACAGAAGCACAAGGGTGACATCTGAGTACAAGGTTTGTGGGTAAGTGCCTGCTCCACCGGAGCTCTCCAGCTGAACCTGCAGGTGGAAAAAGGCTTTCAAAAAAAAAAACCCTGATCTCTGCCGAAGAACCGGTGAGTCCCGAAGGGTTTCTGTTAAATGAACATTCTGCCAGGAACAGTAACACCGCTAGTGCAGTGTAGCTAATGTGCAGGAACAGCCGAGTCACGTCCGTGGCGCCTAGGCTCGAGACCCACCGGACACCAACAGTAACAAAAGTGGCCGTTTCAGTTTGCGAGTAGGAAGCTTAGTGAAGCCCGTTCTTTAACAGTTTCGGGTTTAGGGTCAAACCCTAAACCCCTAAACCCTAAAGCCTAAACCTTAATCTCTGCCTAAGAACCGGTGACTCCCAAAGGGTTTCGGGTTTAGCGTCAAACCCTAAAACCTAAACCCTAATCTCTGCCTAAGCACCGGTGACTCCCGAACGGTTTCGGGTTCAGGGTCAAACTCTAAACCCGTAACCCCTAAACCCTAAAGCCTTAACCCTAATCTTTGCCTAAGAACCGGTGACTCCCGAAGGGTTTCGGGTTCAGGGTCAAACTTTAAACGCTTAACCCATAAACCCTAATCTTTGCCTAAGAACCGGTGCCAAGCCGAGAACCACATGCGTGGAGCAGGGTTTTGGGGTTAAGGGTTTGCTTCGTGGAACCCTTCAACCTCCCAAGGGCCCCGTAACCTTCACTTTAATAACAATGAAAACGATAAACGACAGGGTTGGATTAAAATCGATTCTAATCCAAAGGCCCATGGACATGCCACATTCAAGGGGGGTGGATGATGGCTCCAGGCAAAAGCGGATTTAAAATCGATTTTAATCCGCTTTCCATGCCAAGACAAAATACGGATTAAAATCGATTTTAATCTGTACTTGCACCGAGGAACTGAAACCAGAGCGGCTGGAAATCGGTTTTAATCCGTGCCCAAAAGCCCGTCTTCGACAGCCAACCCTTTCGGATTACAATTGATTTAAATCCGGAGTTAAAATCGAATTCCAGCCATACCCCAGGCAATATACGCAATCTCTCAGTAAGCTGCAGTTCGTAGACGCTGACTTCCACTGCCAGCATGCGTTTAGAGACTCGCCTCGTACCGTCGTGTAGCCTCCAACTATCTCTCCAAGGGTGCGATGGGCAGGTGCGCACCTCTCTTCCCTAGGGAGTAAGGTGACCGGCGGCCATGGCTCTCCTGACCTTGTATATCTTGCCAGGTTACAATTAGGTAGATGTGGACATTCCGGTTCGTTCTGTCTCATTGGCTTTCCACGGAGTCTTCGGACTCGACTGCCCTGCCTTTCGGTGCTCGCGGATCCCCACAAAGACAGATCTCGCGATCAAGCCCGGCCATTCCACTCACCTCCACGCGCCAAGCCCCCGCGCACTCCAACGTTACTCACACGGGCCAACGAAGCGACGTGCGGAGGAAAGTGGAAAAAACGAGTCACAGACGGCAAGCCTTGGCCGGTAGAGGCCAATAACGGGGTTTGGGATTCACGGGGTGGCGAGCTCCGATCAGAGTCCTTCACTTCGCATGCTGGCTGCACTGTGAATTGCGATTTCACCAGAGGCTTCCGACCCTGCGTGAATCGGGGGTCATGAGTTGCAAGTTGCTGCATGGTTAGGATGCTCCTCCGAGCCGCACAGTGTGATGCTAGCTGGCAGTGCAGCTTGGAGAAACGGCTAGAACTCGTGCGTTGTTGTTCCTTTTGGTGCTTTGCCCTAGTTTGCAGCCAAGGTGAGCACACCGCCCTTCAAGCCGGTTTGGGAATTGAAGGAAGCCTTGCCACCACTGTTGCGCCTGGACTCTTCTGAAACCAGGGGAAGGTATTCATCGAGCAAATTGGGATTTGCATAGGAGATACCAGGTACTCGCTTGATGTGTCGCACCTTCATCGAGGCACGCATCATCAGTGACGTCACCGACGTCTGCAGCTTTGTCACCCAACTCTCGTGCTGAGCCCAGTTCGGGCCATCACGCCTCACCTTTCAGCGGGACAGAACGGATCGCATGCCGTTGCAGTTTTGCAGATCACGCAAGGAGTTCAAGATCCGTTGTCGTCTACAGTTTCTTTGTTGCAAGAAGCCTCCTGACAGCAAGTTCGATTTCCGGATGTTTGGGTCGTGGTGCGTGGCGAGTTCCACGCAGTCCTCAGGCCTTAGACATCAGATCAAGTTATAAAGCGATGATATTCAGAGCTGTGCATATCGTGGCTCATTCTTGCATGCTTCCTTATGGCAATTAGGTTTCCATTTCACCGCAACAACACCACCAGCAGCAGCAACAACAACAACCACGCACACCTGCTACCCACGTTCGGGTTAGCTTGTCTCGTGCGCTTTCTGGTAATGTTTTGGCCCGGAGAACTTGGCGAAGTCTTCAACAATTGCCTTCTAGCGTACAAGTGGCTGCAGCGCCAGCTCAGTCTATCAAGAACGACTACTGCGGAGATCTTCAATGGAACACAAAGCATCTCGCTTAAAGATTGCGGCTCGCTGTGTGGGTTCCTGAATCTTATGTCCAAGTTGTAATACGTCCAAATCAGCATGTCATGCGATAGCGAGGTGGTGCTACAAACGACGTCCAGATGGTGGATTCTGGATGAGGTGACGCGCAACATCCGCAAGGGTAGCAGCTTGACCAATTAAACAGCAGTCGAGACTGTTGCCACCCAGAAAGCCGTGCACCGGGTGCTTTTGTACCTCCTGTAGTCAGAACACTGCACAGGGGACAAGACCATACGTGACGCGCATAGTCTTACTCCAAGTTTGCGGAGCGACTATAGGCCTGGCAAGTGTTGCTGAACATGGTTCAAGAAGTTCGGCAAACTCTCAGTCAGCCTTCACTGCCCTTAGTGGTTAGGAATCTACCATACACAACAATGTGCATCTCTGTGAGCTGAGGATGACCGAAAAACGGACACAAGTGTGACAGGCACACTTTACATCAAGTTTAGGCCCTGCTCGCGTTTAGGGAGGCAGCGAAAGCTGCCGACTTTAGTGTCGAAGTCTGTGCGTCCTCGCCCAGAATGTATCCACACACGATGATCAAAAGCCTGGTTGCAATCTGAAAGTACATGGATCCGCGACGGGGGGTGGGCGAGGGAGTGTCAGCTCATCCTAAAGGGATATGCAGCATGTACAGACTTTGCTAGTCAATCAGAACGTTCTGCCTCAACTGGCTGCTTCTGCACGAAGAGCGGTGGGGCATGGTCGCGCCCGATTTGGTGCAGATGAATGCCAGCAGTGTGGGATGGGTTGGCCACCTCGAGTTCTGTCAAGGCTGGTGTGCCTCAGGCACTGAAAGCAGCGCAGACCTCGGGCGCTGCTGTGCCGAAGCTGAGCCACGCCCTTTTGTGCATGCCCAGGCCATAGAGTTGGTCGAGTCAGATCCCAGCAAAGGTCCCTTCAGACTGGACAACGCCTGGAGAAAAGCAGCTCCAGGGATGCCTTGAAGACTTGAAGAGGCCACTCCTTTGCGGAACTGGCGAGCTGCTTGGGCAGTCCCCTCGGCATGGCGCGTTGCTCCTGGTTTTAGGATTCAGTTGTTGATGCACCGAAAGGTCCGGACCATACCGTCAGCGTACTCGGCGATGAGCTCCGCCCCCACGCTCTGCCAGCAGATGTGCAGAACGGCCTGCTGCACACCTGAAAGGATCGGCATGGTCAGTTGCATCCCAGGTACGATGTGAAGAAATTATACATCAAAGCCCTGAAGCTGGATCCTTCGCAGTGTGCTTACAGCAGGAGTGCCGTGGAATGAGACAGAGCCGATAGCAGTGGGCACGTCATGTCCACATGAGGCTAAACGTTGCGAAGGAGCAGTTGGGGAAGTTGCTGCAGGACGACGGACAGAATCGCCGTTGCCTTGGATAGGGAAGAAGCGGTTCCCTCGTCAGGAAGGCGAAGAGGTGCGGATTCGTGGCAAAGCTCGGCCCTGACGATCCAGATCCAAGACTCATCTGCCTTGCCCAGAACCTGCGATGAGCATAAGCCACCGGCTGACCACTGCTGCCACATTGTTCAAGGGAGCTCTTGCCCAACAGTTTCGTCAGTCCTGTCACTTCCTTGATCTTCGATCAGTGAAGTCAGTGGAAAGCATGGCAAAGCAAGACTCAGCGCAAAGTAGCATCAGCCTGTCACAGGGACTGCTTTCCAAATGCGAGCAACAGCTTCGGCTGAGCCAGCAGGAAGATAGAAGCCATGGTTAGGATTTGGCCTCTGCCTGAGCACAGAAGTTCTCAGCGCTGACGCACAAGCTCTGTTGTCGTAAGTCATGAGACATCAAGCCGTTGAGAACAATGACAATGACCCCGTGCAAGCACCGCTGTGCTGCTTGTCGACTTGTTCGAAAGTTCGAAACTGGAGACTCTGATGCAGGTCCATCTTGGTTGTATGCATCTTGCACATTAGTGCTGCAGCTGCGGAGGTGGCACGGACTGGCTTTCGTAGAATCGGTGAAGCGTGGAGAATTCTTGAAGAGGATGGAAGCTGCTCTGCCGACAATGCGGCGGCGGGAGAAGCACTCAGTTCTTTGCGTGCATAAGGCCACTGTATCGTACTACTTTCTGGCTTTGTCTTGTCCTTGTCGCACTGCGCAAAGTATGTCGATACAAGGCTCCTGCGCAATGGATGAGGCTGCCAAAATCGAGGAGGACCGGTTGGGCGTGCTTTGGATGCCTCTGCAATATCAGACAGAAACATGAAACATCACATCAGGATATGGCACGGCTGTGCCCGCTCTTAAAAGCAGGGGCAGCTTTCTACGGCTTTACTGGGCGCTTTCTGAGTCGAACAACAGGGACGATGTCCATGGTGCAGGGGCCCTGAACTGCTGAGTGCACGTTGTGGCTTGTGCCTGGCTACAAAGGGCTGCGCGAGTTGACAGAAGCATTGCACTTTTGCAGCGGCGGCTTTTTTAATAATCGACATGAGGTCTCTGTGGCCACGAGGCAAGGTCATGAACGAAGCCGCATTCGAGCGAGCCGGTGTTGCACCAGGTGTACATCCAGAGCTTTTCGCAGATGAGAGACTCACCTGCAGTCAGCAGTGTTGTGTCATGCGTGAATCCGGAGATGCAAGATGCGACGAGGTACACCGTATCTGTCCTGACAATCGTTGGCCGGATCCTTCTGGGGATTTACAAGACTCGTGACAAGGCGCAATAGAAGCATCGCATGGGAGCATGCGATTTTGCAGGTGCATCAGAAGCACACAGCATGAAGAAAGAAGACTTGTGCAAATGCTCAGTCCTACGTCAACATTCCGTCGGCGATGCTCGACCATGACGCAGTCCTGGATGTCCGCAGCCATGGCTGTTCTTTGACACTTCTGGCCGCTGCATCGAGTGGATTGAGTGTGGGTGAGTCACTGACAGGTCGAAAATATCCATGCACCTCTTTACGATGTTGATGGCAGCCCCAACTTCTACTGGTTTGAGGCAGGGTACAAGTTAAATTGATTTAAATTGCCTCGAACACTGATTTTTGAAGCGAGTAGATGTGGCTTTCTTGTGTCAGGCGATCTTTCCGCAGTTCATCCTGAGGAGCTGATCGGGTGCTCTTGCAGTCAAAGCGCGAGAAGATACGATCTTTATGGTAGGAGATACAGGATATGTGTATGTGAAGGCGTTTCGCAGACAGCCGTCACAGCTTCCCTGACAAGAAGCACCAGGAGGTTATACGTGCCGTTGATGACTTGTTTCTACAGCGGCCTGCGAAAAATGAACGTCGATGGCGAAGGACCCTCTTCTGTGCTGCGGTGATTTGTACGGAGTCTACGTTACATTTACCAGTTCTGTTGACCGCTGGCTTCAAAGACTGATGAACGCAAAGTTAAACTGCAGCCAGGAAATTTGGATGATGCGCTGGACGATCCGGCTTACAACACATGGGAAGTCGTCTTGAAAAACTCGAACATGAGCAAAAGAGACTGGGTGGAGTACTTGGTCATGATCTAGAATCAGGGGCGTTGCTTTGAGCGAACTGGTGAGGTCCTCAAATTCTACGACATCGCACACACCTGGGATGGCAACCTCTTGTGGCCAAAGCAGATGACGGACTTCAGCGTCTACTTCAAAAAGGAGCCGAGCCTGCCTTCCGAGAATGCCCTGCTCGTACCAAACAAAACGCCAGGATGAGTGGGAGGATCAACTGGAGCGCGCCATTGCCTTCCACCTCATCGGCACACACAGGCCAACGCCGGCCATGGAAGGCTACAACATGAATTTTGAACATCCTGGGTCCGTGCTTAAGAGTTCCTTTCGGGTTGCAGGTCCTGGTTTGTGACATTGGGGTGGCTGCTTGAGACACCGTGCGGCTTTGCACTGATTTTGGGGGCCAGGCTGGAAGCTGGCTCCTTCTCCGTGGATGTGCCAGGCATGGGCAGCATGAAGCTCCCATACAGGAAGCTCGGCCAAAGGAGCGTCGAGCTATCCTCTTCGGACTGTGTGGACAGGCCGATGGAAAGGTGGCAAGGTCCGACCACGTAACCTGTCAGACAACCGAAACCCCAGATTCAATACGCATCGAGCCCGAAGGCAGAAGCGGCCATGTCTGTTCTGGCTTCTCAGATATTGCTGGAAAGCGTTTGGCCACGGTGGTTGGGGCATGTAGAGCCGGCATGTGAGTAGTTCAGGATCCTGCACTTCTTTGGGTTCAGGGGCGGTGCTGCAAGGCGGCTGTAGCTGCGAGGTGAGGCAGCTGGAGACGGCTGCAACAGCTCACCATGCACAACACGCGAAAGATCACATGGCTTGTGTTTGCTGAATGCTCGTAATCGTACCGAATTGCTCAGGATAGCACTGAACGTCTTCAGCGAGCTGTCAGTCCGGGATGGGTTTGGCAGATACGGCGTGGACTTGCATCTCGGCTTGCGTCGGAGACGTGACGCTCCTTCTCTCCGTGTTTCGTGATTGAGGTACTTCAATGAAGGCACCCTGCATCATCAAATTCGCTCGGAGATGGTCTGTCCAAATTTCATGCTGTCACAATGCCACAAGACGGGAAAAGCAATCCTGCCGAGACGAGCTGCCCGTTCTTCTGGTGACCCCAGATAATCATACGGCCCCTTGACTGGAATGCAGAGCTCAAGTCTTTGAGATGGGGATCTACTGCAGACTTCTTGTGCCAGGTCGTGCGCGGAGACAAGCAGCATGGCACCCGGAGTGTTCTGTGCCGGCAACAGTCACCACATGCCAGACTTGTTCCAAGGTGGCAGTACTGGAAGTTTGTTTGGCGAAGCACCTTAATCACAGGCCTCGGACTGTCTTGCGAGCTCCAGTCAAAGGCTACTTCGAGCCGCTTTGGAGGCATCACGCTGGTCGACCACCTTCACTTCACGCATTTCAGGCCCAACTGCGGGTCGATGTTCAGATACGAAGACTTTCAACTGCTCGCGAGTTTACTTTCTGCTGCAGGAGCGCGAGCTTGCTTTCGCGGGCCACTCGAGACTCGGACACAATTGGCTAATCCATCCCCGCGTCCACATCACGTGACCAATGCGTCCAGGAATCAAGCTGCCAGCTGATCATCCCCAGCGGCGTCTCCTGTCCATCTTTACGTTTGGTTCTATCTTCGTGAACATCCAGGCCGGAGTTCATATCTGGATAGCTTCGTAGCAATGCTTTCCAGTCGACACACAAGGCAACTCACGTCCTACTGGGTGTGGGGCTTATGCTTTCAACACCCTTTGGACAGTACCTAGATGTTGGAAGTCGCACAAAAGACCAAGGTCGGAATCATTTGCTTCACCGGGCTACCCCTTTCTCGGACTTTCTCAAGCTGAGCTGTGCCCTCACGAGTGCACCTATGTCTGCTTGTGCAGCGGAAAGCTTAAGGTCACAAAGTCCCGACGATGCTTGACGACGTTACCGATGCGCCATCGATACAGGCATGCACCTTTCTGCAGCGGGACTGTGGGGAACAAGCACTCGCAACTTGAAAGCACAGGCGATAGTGGAAGATGCCGTGTGGAATGACAAGGACAAGTACCTTGGCAGTTTTTCACACAAGCAGCAACCCTCTGCGTATCAATGTTAAAGCCGAGGCTTTCTCCTAAGTTACGGTCATTGCCTTACTATGCTGATGGCCGACTTCTTTGGGAGACTATCAAGAAGCGTCTCGGAGCTCCACATTTCAGGGTCTGAGAAAGCAAAGTTTCAGTCAGTGCACCATGTAAATGTGCACGGAGCGCAACAGAACATGACATCTCAGGTTTATAACGGAAATATTTCAGCGCCTTGACTTGTAGACTGCCACATTTGCTGCCATCGACGACCTTTTCCAGCAAGTTTGCCCTGTGTCCAACCAGTCGAGATCTTTCATTCTTATATAAGGAGAAGCTACATATGCACGGTCGGATGCATAGATTCTTCTGCAACGGGAGAGTGGCCTGGCGTGTGTTTGAAAGGCGTGGTTGCCTCTCCTCCCCTGTGCACAGGAGGAAGGTGCTCTTCAACAGGCAATAGTGGACTTCAAGAATGAGGTTGTGGCTGAGACCTTCGAGGAGCGCAATGGCACGGATGAATGTCTGCTGCATTGCAGAAAGCTGGCTTACGTAATGCTTTACTCTATCGACAAGAAGCAGTAGTAGTGGCAGTTGTAGTCGTAGTCGTAAGCAGTAGTAGCAGTAGTAGTGGTAGTAGTAGTAGTAGTGGTAGTGGTAGTGGTAGTGGCAGTAGCAGTAGCAGTAGCAGTAGCAGTAGCAGTAGGAGTAGGAGTAGGAGTAGTAGTAGTAGTAGTAGTAGTAGTAGTAGTAGTACTGGTACTGGTACTGGTACTGGTACTAGTACTAGTACTAGTACTAGTACTAGTACTAGTACTAGTACTAGTACTAGTACTAGTACTAGTACTAGTACTAGTACTAGTACTAGTAGTACTAGTACTAGTAGTAGTGGTAGTGGTAGTGGCAGTAGCAGTAGCAGTAGCAG